GTATTAAGTGAATGATATGTACGTATGTATGTATGTATGATATGTACGTATGTATGTATGTATGATATGTACGTATGTATGTATGTATGATATGTATGTATGTATTTCATGAATAAATTTACTAGTTATTTGTAAACATTGCAATATACATATTCGACCTTTGTATTATTGCAATGATGTAATGCGTTTTTGTTCAAACTGAAAAAGTAAAAATAAAAAAAAAACGTATTTTATATATATACACTATTTTTGTTACCGTGGTAAGAAATGGTTATTATTCCGGGAAAATATATGTTTACAAATATACGAGAATATAATAAAATACAAGATACTAATACAATAATATACAAATACATCATGATAATACAATACACTGCACCAATGTACTAATGCACTAATTAATGCATTAGTGTATTAATACATTAATATATATATATACACTAACAGTTATTTTTGGGCGTTCATAAGTAATTGGTATAATTTACGTCACAGTAGACTAGGTAATGACTGCCCTGTATACCTGTTACTATTATTACTCGTCTTAACACACACACACACACACACACACACACACACACACACACACTCACTCACACACACACACACACTCACACCACAACCACGAGACAACAGAAATATTCCCGTAACAATACTCCCCTCATGACTGGCCACGTTATTACGACAATCGGCCGGATACGATCTCTCCCGTACACCAGCCAACCCTGAGAAATTTCCATAGAGTGAAAGGAACGAAAATCATCATTATTCTCCATCATAGCTAAAGTTTTTGAATATATTTCCACGGAAGATAATGGCGAGAATAATGTTTTCATGAGAAGCTTCATCATTCATATTCAAAATTCCCGGCAAAAAAAAAACAAAAAAAAAACAAAGCGGGGGAGGTTTTACTGCTGTGTTCTGCGGCATTATTGTGCATCATCATCACCCTCACCTCCCTCCCTTGTGTGGTGCCAGGTGTGTGTGTGTGTGTGTGTGTGTGTGTGTGTGATGAATCTTTTAAAGTTTAAAATATATATCAAACACTTCCATAAAACACAACTTTTAATATACACAAGTTTTATAAAAATGAATATTCTTTATTTTCTAGTAATTAAATAATATAGACACCTGTACACATGTTGGCAGGGAGGAGGGAGATAAGCACACCTGTACAGATGTTGGCAGGAGGAGGAGGAAGGTAAGCACACCTGTACAGATGTTGGCAGGGAGGAGGGAGATAAGCACACCTGTACAGATGTTGGCAGGAGGAGGAGGAAGGTAAGCACACCTGTACACGACTAATTAATTTGCTATTAGGACCAGTTCACTCATGAGAGACGCAATGCAGTCCAGGTAATGTACTGGCGGCGATAGCATTACTTAAATAGATATCATTAATAACAATTATATTTACGCTGTTTATATTATTAATTACCATAATTTTCACAATGTTTATGACAATATTATTCCCAATGTTTATGTCATGAAAGGTTGAAATAATTTTTGAGTTTATGTTATTAAAATCAAGATATTCTTCGGGTACATTATTAATATGAAGAAAACAATCAATTACATTATAAAAAAACAAGAAATATTATCCGATTACATAAACAAAACAAGATATTCCTCATGTTTGCCCCCCCCCCACACACACACATCATAACCACAACTCACTAAAAACATAAAACCAGGTGTAATATTAAACCCTAAAACGACAACTACATAAACCCCTTCCTCACCCCCCACCTCTCAAAGGAAAGGTGGGGGAGGGGGGAGGGGGGTCTCAAACCTTTACACCCTGACGGGTCTATGGGCGTCTAGGGAAGGTGAAGCTTATAGGAGAGTTTTTCATCCCTAATGGAGAGTAATAAGAGGGGAGTGGGGTGAGTGGGGGAGTCGTAGGGTTTACACACACACACACACACACACACACACACACACACACACACACACACCTGGCATCACACAAGGGAGGGAGGGAGGGAGATGATGATGCACGATAATGCCGCAGAACACAACAGTAATACCTCCACCTCTTTGGGGCACCCACGCCAGAGCTGAGGACTATCTACAACGCCTTTATTCTCTCAAAATTAACGTATGCGTCACCAGCCTGGTCGTCTTCTCTCATCTCTACCCAACGTCAGCTAGAGAAGGTACAGAAGAGGGCCTGTAGAATCATGCTCGGCGCAGAATACTCCGGCTACACCAACGCTCTCTCCACCCTGGAAATGCCATCCCCCAGTGACCTCCACCACCAGGCACTAGCCGGATTTGGCAGTGGACTACTGCACCATCCTCGGCATCGCCACCTACTGCCACCGGCAGTCCCCCGCTCACCTCGCGCAGTCCGCCACTACAACAAAATTCAGCCCATAAGAGCCCGCACTGATAGATATAAGAACAGCACCATCCCATCTATTGTTAAAATAATAAACAACTCCTGATTTATGTACTGTACAGCCCTGTAAATGTATTCAACGTATATTATTATGTCTAAATCACATGTAAGTTTGTATATTTTCAGCCAACGGCTGCACTCTATTAATAAACCGTTTATTATTATTATTATTACACACACACGTCGTCATATTTTACTAGACATACAAATGGTTTCGGTTTGTCTTCCTGTTTGTCTGTATGCATGTTTGTTCACGAGAGAGAGAGAGAGAGAGAGAGAGAGAGAGAGAGAGAGAGAGAGAGAGAGAGAGAGAGAGAGAGAGCGCTGCTGTATCTCTCTCCCCAGCAGAGCCACGAAGGTCCAACGTGAAGTACATCAATATTCATGGCAGTAGAGCTTCATATATATACCTCCACACGGCGCCCGTACCACTTACTCTGTGTGCGTATATTCCCTGCACTTTGATGACCAAGAAGACTCCTCTGTTGGTACTTGAGGAAGCTTCAAGTATCAAGTATATTAATCTCGTTCCTTGAGCATATTTAGACAAAACTTTAATACATTATAACGTCAAGGTGCCTGGGGGAGGTGACTGTAGGCTTCCCAAGAAGAGGAATACATCAGAGCGAGGCGGAAGTCCCTTTGTGTTTCTAAGTTAAGGAAGGTCAGACGTCTTGTAGCGACATCCAAAAAAGGAGGACCATATCTTTTTATGTTTATACGACAGCACTTGTTGATTTTTTGTTACAATAAAATATTTTTCCACTCTTTTTTATTTTTTTCTTATAAATCATAAATTAGAAACGCGAAAGAAATGTCATAAGGATCAACACGTTTATAATTCACGTCCCTAAGATATAGTATAACGTAAAGCAACACACAAACCCACACAACCTATAATTGACAATAATCGTCCTATATCTATAAAGCGTCATAGTAAATAAGGCGGCGGTGGCGGTGTCCTCGGTGGCGCGGAGTCACAGAAAAAGCGGCAGCATTAGGCGGCGGCACTCCCGAATATTAACCAGCGAGAATATGTTGGGTCAATAACACGCCAGCCTCACCTCCCGCCCCAGGCTGCTCTCCCTGGTGTTGTAGGTCCTGGTATCCTCCCCAGCACCTCTCCTGGGTCACTTAGGCCTTAGGCTCCTGTTTAGCGCCTTTCTCGGGTCTCAGATCGCCTTGGCATCTTTAATAGGAACTCTTTTGTCCCTAGGATGGTCGAGGGGTCCTTCGGTGGAATTTTCATAGGCAATTTATTCCTAAAATCCTGTGTTAAGAGGTTTTTTGGGTCTAGGATGGTGATGGTAGATTCAGAAGGTGTCATCAGGACCTATGGTACATTCCAGTCCTTTCTTGGAGTCTGCCTGGACCTGGATCAATACTTTAATGGCTCTGGTATCATTCACAGGAGAATTTTTTTTAAATAGTTGCTCTTGGTAACTCCTCTAGGTACTCTAATAGTTCCCTGGCCTTGGTATCCCTTGCAGGATGTCCCCCACGGCCTAGGACAGTCGTAGTATACTGTAGGTAAAAGGGTGGTCTTCATAAGCTGCTATCCTAGTGTCCTACGATAGTCATCTAGTCCTTTGAATGAGTCCTGAGCCAGTGGTAAAAGCACTGATGTGAGTCCTGGTAGTTTATATAGGATACCTGAAGGTTCTGGTAGGTGTTGTGACGTCCTTCAGATGGTGTGGGGCGGCCGGTGTGTGTGTGTGTGTGGTGGCGACAGCTGCATCCTGGTAATTAAGGTCAAGTCCTGTAATGTGTTCCTTCATGAACGGATCCCAAAACTTCATTTAATTTTTACTCTCTGAAGATGAGCTTGAAGTCGGTCGACGCTGCCGTGACTACTAGAAACTAACATTTGGATCACCTGATGATTTGACACCCTAGCGAAATTTCGGGGGTTTACGTTGGTTAGGGGAGCATTAGGGTGGTCAATTTTCAGGTGAGGTAATCTGGGGTGTCTGATCGTCATGTGTTCTTAATATTTACTAAAATTTTAATTACTAACGGAGTCGCTTGTGAAGGACAGGCAGTTTAGTTTATATCTATTCAAGTAAGTTTGTCCGCAGTGAAGGGAAAGCATTATAGCCTTCATACTGGCACACACACACACACACACACACATATATATATACACACACACACAACCTTGGGAGCAACTGCGTCATAAAGGTTAAAGGTCGAGATCGTACCCCTGCAAAAACTATCACTCGGCGTAAGTATTCTTCTGGCTTAAGTGCGTTCTTGTGTTTACCTTACTTCACCTGAGCGACGGTCTCCTTCTCATATCACACGTTAGTTATCAAATGTCATAAGATAATTTGTTTTGAATCTTTAACCTGATACACAGTCCGTTGGTCTGCCGTAAACTTATGTTGTTAATTGATTCACATTATAGGTCAAAGATTTTTACCAGTGGTGTTATAAGATCACGGAGGAGGGAAGGCCAGACAAGGTAGGCAGGCCGTATAGGTAGCATGCGCCTTTCAGCTGGTGTGATGTCAGCTGGGACACTCAGATGGTTCCGTGTGGGTTGGGAGGCGCGAGGCGGTGTGAGGGAGAGGGAGAGAGTGAGAGAAAGAGAGAGAGGGAAGAGTCAGTTAGGCTTTGGCCACCACCGTGGAGGGACGCGAGCCGTGTGACCTCCTGCGCTGTCCTCACCGTCCAGCCTCGCTCCCTCACACACAGACCAGCGCGTCTCTCACTGTGTTGTGATAACTTCTTCCGCTTCGTGACCACCACCATGACGAACTTCTCTTTTGTATAGAGTGCATGTGGTAACCCTAACACTATTTTTGTACCTTAAGAGATTTTTCTTTTTAAGTTGGAAACATGTACGTGCGGTTGAAACTCTTGGTGAATGGCTTTGACAAACTGAAGGTAATTTGATGATATTTTAGAGAAAGGAAGAATATTACGTGAAGTTCTCTTTCAGTGGCCGACCAGACTGTCACCTGTTCCAGCCAGCCTGAGCCTGACTGTGATTTAGATGTGAGGCTGTGCACCAGACGACCCAACAGTGAAATGCTCGAGTGTTCAACAACTAAACCTCAAATAATAAGACTGTTAAACAAACCAGCTACAACCTTCCATGGGACAAAGTCAGCGCCACTCACACACTCCCTCTCACTCTTGAAAAAAAACGATTATACAAAGTTTTTTATATACTTTTTTCTGGATAAAAAATAAAACATCAGTGCTGTAAAAACTTCCACTGATGTAGTTTCATATTTTTTATTTAACCCAATCAGTGAAAAAGAGAAGACATAATTGATGGACTCAGTGAGGAAGAAGATGACCTCTGAGACACAAAACATCACACGCCATCATCAACAACAACAACCATCACTGTGACCCTTCTACAGTATATTTTCTCTGAACTCGTTTAGTTTCCGTTAAGAAAAGAATCAAACTTTAAGACGTGTATACTCCCCAGGGTGAACTATGATGGTGATGATGATGACACACAACTGAGATGAATGAACCTCACCACACTCACCATCATTCACAGTGACTCAACTCCTGGATTTTTGTAGTTTTTTATCAATCATTTTTTTTATCAAGCGACGACCAGGTGTGGCTATGGTCATGCCTCTGAGCACAGGAACACTAATTAGCGGGCTACAGGTGACTCCTCCATAGACGTGATAGAGGTATCATGGTGACGCTCGTGATCACTGACAACAGGTGTGACCCTCACAGTGCCAGCTAACTACTGATAAGAGTGTCATCAGGGTGATACACCATGTTCATCTTCCTCTACGTGATGGGTGAGTTTATTCTACCAGTAGTGAATATATAAATTTATTTCTGCCTCACCTGAGTAAATTAAGATTATTTCTGCCTCACCTGAGTAAATTAACATTATTTCTGTCTCACCTGAGTAAGTTAACTTTATATCTGTTTCACCTAATTAAGTTTACTTTATTTCTGCCTCACCTGAGTAAATTAACATTATTTCTCTCACCTGAGTAAATTCAAATTCACACCTGTCTCTCCCGAGTTCAAATTATTTCTGCCTCACCTCACTGTACGAACATAACATAAAACACTACTCGTGAAAAATAATCATTGACTCATTCACGACACAATAGGTAGCGACTGTGTCAACCCCATTACCACACACTAAGTAGAAAATACAATCAACGCATTAAAATAACAATAGCGCTAAATGACACTATGGCAGCCGTGAGCAACAAAAACAAAAGAACGCATCTCATTATAATAAAAGTAAAAAAAGTGCACTTGAAAAAAAAACCGCTGTAATTATCGAGGTAAATATTTATATACTGGCCAAATTATTGCGTCCTAAATAATAATAATAATAATAATAATAATAATAATAATAATAATAATAATAATAATAATAATAATAATAATAATAATAAGCAAATAAAATCCCATATAGTACTCGATTTAATGAATGTTAATAATTCAACTAAATCAAGTGTTTTACGTATATAAAAAAATTCAACGCTTTTTTTTTACGTGTCTAATTGAAGTCATTTATGTGTATCGAGTACACTTGATGGCTTTATTGAACCTCGGGCAAACAGCACCTATACCGGGACCATCCTACTGCCCTGCCTCCCGTGATTGCCTCCCCCATGCTCTCTACGGTTTAATAACGCCGTTGGGTGCCAGAAAGAGAGAGAGAGAGAGAGAGAGAGAGAGAGAGAGAGACTCCTCCAGCCTGGGTTACCGTGCCTGCCTGCTAAGAGATAGATGAGAGATCTTAATTGTTTCACTGTGGTCTCTCTCTCTCTCTCTCTCTCTCTCTGGGTAAGGGAGAGAGGGACTGAAGATTTATTCTTGTGTTCTTTTGTTCGATTTTTTTTATCTTATTGTTTCTGTTCTGGGGGGATTTATTTCATACCCTTTTTCTCTATCAATTTAATTTTCCTTTTATTAACGTTTTATTTCCTTTCTTCTTCGGGGTTTAATTTTTTTATGGTTCAATCTTTTCTTCTTCTTTTTGTGAATTTATTTTCATTATTTACCAGCAGTTTTTTATTCTCTTTGTTCTTGTGGGTTTGTGGAGGAGCTTACAAGAGATTTATTTTGCGTGTGTTCCTCAGTTCTACATCGTCTCCGTTATTACACACACACACACACACACACACACACACACACACTGTAAACAATCAGGTTTATGAATGACCTCTGTTTTACAAAGTGTTTACAAAGCATTTTATGAATGGTAGATGTGCAAACTATTAATTTATTCTATTTATTTGTAAAAAAAAATTCCCTTCATTTTCTCACAGAACAAATTGCGATTTAATATTTTTTTAATAGAAATCGTGACTTTCTTTATTTATACGGAAGATGTAAATTTTTATTCACATTTATACTGAACAAATCATGTTTTGTGTTTTCTAATTTACAGAATAAATCGATTTCTCATATCTAGCAAACATATAAATTTATCATACAGGGAAAAAAATCATGTTACCTCCTTACAGAATCAAAATTTTCTCACCCCTAACAAAAACAGAATAAGGTTCAATATCTTACAATCACCAAACGGAACAAACCACCGTCCATGTATAAAAATCATTAAGATCCATGTAAATTATATGAAACAATTAAATAGCGGATCCATTCCTCTGTTTACATAAGCGACTCGTGTGCTGGGATCAAACACCAAGGCTCGTTCAGTGGGTCGGCGAGTGCATCTAAACACCGAGTTTAAGCCAATACTGCCAACTGTTCTCTGTTAATGCTGTTATCTCTTTCAGTCCGAACATCTTGAGTATCATGATTACAGTCCACTGAGTACGATAACTGATTGAGTATGATAATTGAATCACTTGAGTGCGATTATTGAATTCCTTGAGTACGATTATTTAACCATTTGCGTGTAATGACTTAACCCCTTTAGTAAAATGACTTATTCCGGGTGATAACAAGGGTGTATTAGGGTGAAGGGGTGACAAGGGTGTATTAAGGTGAACAGATGGCAACAGGATGTATTAGGGTAAAAGGGTGAAAACAGGGGTATATTAGGGTGAAAGGGTGATAACAAGGGTGTATTAGGACGAAAGGGTGACAACAAGGGTGTATTAGGGTGAAAGGGTGACAACAAGGGTACATTAGGGTGAAAGGGTGACAACAAGGGTACATTAGGGTGAAAGGGGGACAACAAGGGTGCATTAGGGTGAAAGGGTGACAACAAGGGTACATTAGGACGAAAGGGTGACAACAAGGGTGTATTAGGGTGAAAGGGTGACAACAAGGGTATATTAGGGTGAAAGGGTGACAACAAGGGTGTATTAGGGTGAAAGGGTGACAACAAGGGTACATTAGGATGAAAGGGGGACAACAAGGGTGTATTAGGGTGAAAGGGTGACAACAAGGGTGCATTAGGGTGAAAGGGTGACAACAAGGGTGCATTAGGGTGAAAGGGGGACAACAAGGGTACATTAGGGTGAAAGGGTGACAACAAGGGTGCATTAGGGTGAAAGGGTGACAACAAGGGTGTATTAGGGTGAAAGGGTGACAACAAGGGTGCATTAGGGTGAAAGGGTGACAACAAGGGTGCATTAAGGTGAAAAGATGGCAACAGGGTGTATTAGGGTGAAGGGTAACAATTCGGGTGTATTAGGGTGAAAGGGTGACAAGGATGTATTAGGGTGAAAAGGTGACAACAAGGGTGCATTAGGGTGAAAGGGTGACAATAAGGGTGCATTAGGTGAAAGGGTGACAACAAGGTATTAGGGTGAAAGGTGACAACAAGGGTGCATTAGGTGAAAGGGTGACAACAGGTGTATTAGGGTGAAGGGGACAACAGGGTGCATTAGGGAGAGGACAACAAGGGCATTAGGTGAAAGGGTGACAACAAGGGTGCATTAGGGTGAAAGGGTGACAACAAGGGCATTAGGTGAAAGGGGACAAGGGTACATTAGGGTGAAAGGGTGACAACAAGGGTATTAGGGTGAAAGGGTGACAACAAGGTGCATTAGGGTGAAAGGGTGACAACAAGGGTGCATTAGGGTGAAAGGGGACAACAAGGGTGCATTAGGGTGAAAGGGTGACAACAAGGTGTATTAGGTGAAAGGGTGACAACAAGGGTGCATTAGGGTGAAAGGGTGACAACAAGGGTGCATTAGGGTGAAAGGGTGACAACAAGGGCATTAGGTGAAAGGGTGACAACAAGGGTATTAGGGTGAAAGGGTGACAACAAGGGTGCATTAGGGTGAAAGGGGACAACAAGGGTGCATTAGGTGAAGGGTGACAACAAGGGCATTAGGGTGAAAGGTGACAACAAGGGTGTATTAGTGAAAGGGTGACAACAAGGGTGCATTAGGTGAAAGGTACAACAAGGTATTAGGGTGAAAGGGGTGACAACAAGGGTACATTAGGGTGAAAGGGGACAACAAGGGTGCATTAGGGTGAAGGGTGACAACAAGGGTACATTAGGGTGAAAGGGTGACAACAAGGGTACATTAGGTGAAAGGGGACAACAAGGTGTATTAGGGTGAAAGGATGACAACAAGGGTGTATTAGGTGAAAGGGTGACAAATAAGGGTACATTAGGGTGAAGGGGTGACAAGACAACAAGGGTGCATTAGGGTGAAGGGTGACAACAAGGGTGTATTAGGTGAAGGGTGACAACAAGGGTAATTAGGGTGAAAGGTGACAACAAGGGTACATTAGGGTGAAAGGGTGACAACAAGGGTGCATGGGTGAAAGGGTGACAACAAGGGTGTATTAGGGTGAAAGGGTGACAACAAGGGTACATTAGGTGAAAGGGTGACAAGGGTGTATTAGGTGAAAGGGTGACAACAAGGGTTAGGGTGAAAGGGTGACAACAAGGGGTGTATTAGGGTGAAAGGTGACAACAAAGGGTGTATTAGGGTGAAAGGTGACAACAAGGGTGCATTAGGGTGAAAGGGTGACAACAAGGGTGTATTAGGGTGAAAGGGTGACAACAAGGGTGCATTAGGGTGAAAGGGTGACAACAAGGGTGTATTAGGGTGAAAGGGTGACAAACAAGGTACATTAGGGTGAAAGGGGGACAAGGGTGCATTAGGGTGAAAGGGCATTAGTGAAAAGGGGACAACAAGGGTGCATTAGGTGAAAGGGTGACAACAAGGTGTATTAGGGTGAAAGGAACAAGGGTACATTAGGGTGAAAGGGGACAACAAGGGTACATTAGTGAAAGGGTACAACAAGGGTGCATTAGGGTGAAAGGGTGACAACAAGGGTGCATTAGGGTGAAAGGGTGACAACAAGGGTGCATTAGGTGAAAGGGTGACAACAAGGGCACATTAGGGTGAAAGGGGACAACAAGGGTGCATTAGGGTGAAAGGGTGACAACAAGTACATTAGGTGAAAGGGGACAACAAGGGTACATTAGGGTGAAAGGGTGACAACAAGGGTGTATTAGGGTGAAAGGTGACAACAAGGGCAACATTAGGGTGAAAGGGGACAAGGGTACATTAGGGTGAAAGGTGACAACAAGGGTGCATTAGGTGAAAGGGCAACAAGGGTACATTAGGGTGAAAGGGGGACAACAAGGTATTAGGGTGAAAGGTGACAACAAGGGTGCATTA